GATTTGGACTGTTACACTGGTATCCAAGTCTAATTTAATAAAAAAAATTATTTCCTGTAATTCATTTAACATATCACCTATCGTAATAATAAAAAAAACGATCTGAAACAATGAGTGAGTTGAGGGCTCTTTCTTACTAGCAACACGATACCCTTGAATTAGGCAGGTCCTTCACTTACTTTTTAATTTTACCTTTGTGAAAGTGACCATACCTATAGAGTTTGACATTGACTAATTTGGTCCCTTCTTTGATATTGATACAATGGTCAACCTCCTGTGCTGTGGCAGTTGATCTGGCTCCCGAAAAATGTCCCCGTAATCTGTCACTACCTTCTGCATGTCAGGATCAACCCTGGCTAGCCCGAGCTCTGCTCCGGCCAGTATACAAACAACACATAGGGAGTGTCGTCAGCCTACCTCCCTTATCGTCTCCTTGAGAGAAGCGATCTGTATGGATGGATCGTCAAGGGATGCGTTGCCTTTGGAGGCGGCGTCCCACCGGAAATCCATTTTCAACTTCTTCCAATCACAGGCGACGGGTCTTAACTTCTCCCACCATTGTATTCCCAATACCAAATCCAAACAGATTAGTGGTAAATCATATAAAGCAAAGCTAAAGGAAATACCCTGGACTAGGACCAAGGTATCTTCGAATCTTCCTTAACGCCTCATCAGTCTGCATCTGCAATTTTTATCTAAAAAGGTCGGGTTGGCACTACTGAAAATCACAACAGCTCAAATATTCATTCACTGGTGAAGTTGTGAGTGAAGCCGCTATTGATGAGGACCACCACCTCATGTTTCCTGATGGTGGCGACATTGGTCTCCAAATATTGTCGACCGTACCTGCTTCTGTAGTGCTCAAGTTGTCCTGCATACTGCTAACACTGATCTTCAAATTCTCGATTCTCTCCTTATTTGTTGCACCACGAAGATCCCAGAGAAGACATTCAAAACCCACGATATGCATATTAGAGAACGAGGGAAATATGGAACACGTGAAGAGGGAAAATCAAATCAAGATCAACTAGCCGTTATTAGAGACTTAGTCTCCTTTTTACTATTTTCAAGCTCGTTGTTGCTTAAATGTATGAATTTTTGTTATATTTCATGTGTATAAATTCTGCACAATCAATAAGAGAAGATATTCGACTTTCATCTTCAAAAATATTGTGGTTTCTTTTCCATCCCAAGCAGAAAACTTTAAACTCAAATTGTTAAATGTTTTGACCGAGACCTATCACATCTGAAATCAGCAAGAGCCCATCTCCATCTCCATCTCCACAGCCACTAAAACCCAATTGCCAAAAACTACTAGGGTTGATTTAAAACTCTAAGATCTTACAAATCTCACATTTCTGGGTATTCTGATTTCAAATACAATGCTAAAAAGAGGAGCAAGAACTAGGACTATTATACGGATTAAAGACGGAGACGAGCTGAACTGTAGTGAGATTTCGATTCATTTTGATCTAGAAACTCTGTATATTTCACCATTGACAAATCAAACAACAAGGTTCTTGAGATTACCAATACCGTCATTTTAAAAGATCCATATACTACTTCAATTGTTCCAAGGAAGCATTAACACAGAATGTGGGAAGTTTGAATTATGCCTTTTCTTGTCTATATATTATATTTTTTACATTAAATTAATGTTGGCTTATTTATTTATATGTTGAGTTTATGGCAGAGTTCATTTATGTATTTCAATTCAATTAAACCACATGCTTCTAGTACTGGGAGGATTTTTGTAAGTAATATATTTTTTGTTTGCATGTACCTTGGATTTTTCTTACATTGATTTGTGGCTATGACCTCTTCTTCTATTATATGCAGTCTATGATCGGTTCGTATATCCTATTTACCATTATCATGAGTGTTCTTCTTCCCCGGACACAATTGGGTTCTAAGTCCTTCTCAGCAGGTACTGTTAAGAAGAGAAGACTTGCTGAGTTGCAGTCAACTCACGCCATTGTAAATGTCCAAACAGTAACAGAATTAAAAGAATTAATTTAATTAATCCAATTTGAATAAGTTGGATAATATCTCACCCAATATTTCTTGA